GCTTTTGACTGGGTATTGGATGTCTGCTAATGGGGGTCATGTGACATGACAGGCAGAAATTTAAAGTGTAGTCTCCCAGCTGTGGTGTTGACCTACAGTTGGTAGGTGCTTAGTGCTTGTTTACTGACTTCATCTACACGCTCTTCACTTGAATCTTAGGATTGGACTAAAACAACTTTTCGCAATCAAACTTTTATTTTTTTGTTTATGTGTATTCATAGAATCTCGTATAGAGCTAGTGTTTATTTCGAATTTGTTGAATAGACATTGATGTTTATTTATACGACGAACAGTTAGCTCTAGTTAGACGTACAATCATGGGTTTTTTAAGTTCGATCCAAAGATTTTTTGAAGCTCCGGATGTTGTCTACGGCAATACAGCAAAAGGTAAATATTGGGAGTTGTCTGGCACCACGGTCACGTGACTTCTGATACTATTTATAGATTCTTGATGCCGATTCTGCGACATGGTGTTTCATCCCAACAATACAATGAGTCTACTTTCATTATCTCAACAATATAATGATTCTACTTTCATTACCCGACCAATATTCGAGTGCTTTTGATTCTATTAAGTGACATAATATAAGCACGTCTATGTCACCTGTTCCATAGAGCTCCTCTTTCAGACCTAACGATTCATAAAGTAGATGAAGTAGAGTTCATGTGTCCCGACCTCGGCATTTGTAAGGATGGTGTGGACAGCACGATGCCCCACCGACTTTACTTTTCCTAAAATGAGTCAGGTACCTATCAGAGCTGGGTGGACTCAGGCGTCCCGACTGAGATCCGAACGCGAGACCTTCGGGCTAGCAGTCAAGCGCTCTATCCCCCGACCAAGCTGTACCATCCACTTACTACAGGCTGTTTTTTTTACCTTAGAACTTTTTGTCTTTCCCCAGGTGCCAGTAGCCCGGATACCGCAGATCACCCACTAAAAGTCAATGGGGGATTTATCGCAATGGCTGCCGGCCTGTCCGTGATTGTGCCCCTTATATGTGTCCTCATCATCCAGCTGAGGAGGTCGAAGCGGGAGGAGCGGGAGCGGGTGGCCGCAGCTGCCGCAGCTGCTGCCGAAGCCGGAACCACGCCCACAGACGACCTGCCGCCGTCGTACGAGCAGCTGTTTGGCTCCACCGTCAACCCGGTCTCAGACGATGACCTACATTCCAGCACGGACGCCCTCAACACCAGCACTGATGACGTCATGCACGCGCGGTCAGACAGCATGGCCGTTTTGTTGGAGGAGAACGAGGTGAGACGCCCGAGGGCCGTGTCAGCGAATGCTGTCATGAGTGACAGTGGCACTAATGTGCCAGTGACATCAGACGGTTCCTACGACAACGGAGGGTATGCCGGGACACCCCTGTCAACGATATCCGGTTCCTCCGTGTTGGATTTACCGCTCTCGAGCAGGTCGTCGTCTGCTGGCAGTAGCAGCGACGGCCATGATGGAGTGGACGGGACATCCACCGTGAGCACAGAACTGTCAGACACCAACTCACTCCAGAGTTCTCTTTCTCTGGCGCCTTCCACGTCATCCTCAGATGTGCCCCCACCCTCTCCCCCTCCCCCACCGTACAGATCTCCAGCCACTAGCCGCCATGCCAACAACGCAAACAGTTCTGGAATTCAGCAGATGCTCAGACGGTTTCCCGGCATGCACGTCTCCATCCAGGAACTGTTTTCTTCCTTCCTCTCCCCTCAAGACAACGAGAATGACATCCCGCCCCCTTCATACGAGGAAGCTTTGAAAATTCTAGAAGCTGCCAGTCAGTCCATTCTTGGGGGAAATTCAAATTAAAATCTAGTAATTTTAATTGTGTAAGTGTAAGGACACTTATAATACATTTGTAAGTAGATTGTTGAGTGCAGATCACTGAAGTGTAAGCTGACTAGTCTGTGACTAAAAGCGGTCACTGTGAGTAAGCTAAATTGTGACTCCTGCTAAAGGTTACTGTGAATGAGCTAAATTGTGACTCTTGCTAAATGTCACTGTGAGTGAGCTAAATTGTGACTCCTGCTAAAGGTTACTGTGAATGAGCTAAATTGTGACTCTTGCTAAATGTCACTGCGAATGAGCTAAATTGTGACTCCTGCTAAAGGTTACTGTGAATGAGCTAAATTGTGACTCCTGCTAAAGTTAGCTCCGAATGAGCTAAATTGTGACTCCTGCGAACTAATCTAGATCTACTAGTCTACTACTAAAACTATACTTACTAATCAATTATGTTAATTTATTCAGCTCTATGCATAATTACAAAACTTTTCCCTCTACGAGAGCATTAAAGTAACACGCTGGCCTGTGATTCAAACCAAATGTCTTTCACTTGATAACAAAAATCTGAAGGTGTTTTGTAATACATGGCAAGAAGTAGATTTAGATCCAGCTTTTATGAGTTCATTAAGACAAGTTATATCCTTCTGTGGATTAGTAGCGAACGATAAATGGGATTATTTCAAAGTGAATTTCTTTCAAGCTGAGTTGCAACTCTCTTGTATTGTAGATTAGCACTTGTTAAACATGTTGATGGAATATGTTCTGACATACTTATTTCAATGTATACATCAATGTATGGAACAAGTTCTAGCTTGCTACATGCTGGAGAGGAATGTGCCCTAGACAAATCAAACGGAGTCGCAACAAATTGTTTTCATCATTGTTTAGAACTGTTGGGGGAGTTCTTGTCTAGATCCGCCACTAATACAAAAGGTGAATGGACAAAAAGTTAAGCCCCGCCACCTGTGACCTATTTCTGATGTCCAGACATTTGAATATTTAAATGCACACCATTAAAAACAACTTATTCGCCTCTAGGGTAGTGGTTAAAGGTACCAAAATACTTTTTTTTTCAAGCAAATTATTAATGGCATGTCCTAATTTTACCCTCTTCAATAAAATCTTAAAGTTCAAGTATCATATCCTTTATTTTATAATATTTTTTGAGGAGGGGGGGGGGGGTAACTGTACAAGATCCAAATGAAAAGGCTTTATGTACCATTTTATTGTGGTACACAGGAACATGGATGTTCACTTTGTTACCCCGAGGGCTAAGGACAGGTGAATCAAACATCCATTACAAAATATTGCTGGCGTTATTTCAGCACAATAAACAGGATGTTTAGTGGGTCGATTTTAATCACAAAAACTCTTTGGACATGGCCTCAAATTTTGAACCAGAATTAAAACAAAACTTTTTGTTCTAGATGTCACCATGACCTTTAATAACTCCAGCATACATTATCTGTTACCAATTATAATTGGTAAATGCTAATTTCTAACTTAAAAGAATGATGGGTGGGGTATTAATATTTTAGTCCATCTAATTGAACCATTGGTATCTCATAACCTGTGTTTGTCACTGCTAAATATAATTATACCTTTGGTTAAAGCTGATGCAATCAATCTAATTGTGTGCCTAATGATACCAGTGCTAAGTATAGTTTATTTTTTGCCATTACATAAGTGAATGATAAACCAAGCTATTGTCACTATACTGATTAGTTTGAATCATCTGTAACTTGGAAATTTTTAAAATATCCAAATAGGATTTTAAACCATGTTTTGTTAATTTCAAAAAAAATATTTAAAAATGTTTTACTAAAATATCCAAATAAGATTTAAAATCATGTTTTGTTATATTTCTAAAGGTAATTTAAAAATGTTTGACTAAAATATCCAAATAAGATTTTAAATAATGTTTTGTTAAATTTCTAAAGATAATTTGAAAATCTTTGACTAAATATGGTTATAAGCTCTTACGGGTGATTTTTTTTTTTCAAACTACAGGTAAAATATTTCTGAAACTAGTTTTAAACCCTCCCCCCCTTCCCCCATTAGAGTGATGCTGAATTCCATACTGGTTAAAAGCTTGATATTATGAATCAAACATGATGTGATGTTATTAACTTGTTATTAAAGCTGGCTTTGAATCCAGTTGAGCCTTATTGTATTAGTAGACAAATGGGATGATTATTCTAGACAGTTGAAAAATAAATAACTCCATGTTACAAAATATTTGTACAAATATTTTTGTTTTTCTAAATCCAGGTGGTAATACAAAAAATGGCTGTTATCTGTCCATTTAAAAAATGTTTCTATGCAAATCTCATGTGTATATCTTGTACATTAATGAACTGGTTTAAAAAATATTTTAAACTAAGAATTTTTAAATGCTCATTTTTTTCATTTGATAAATTGCAAAACTGATTGGTTGATGTTTCATTTATTCTGCTGAAAGACCACAGCATTAATTAGTCATTTTTGTAATTAATAAAGAATAGATAGTTTTACATTTAAAAAATATCAAGTTGATATTTTATTATAATGAATGTTTATTTTTAAGAGTAAGTTTATGTTTTAAGTTTTAGTCATCTCCCTTTCACAACAAATGTGAGTGGTCTTTCCTTGGCTAGAACACTAGTAGTCACTGAGTTGTGCTGACATTTCAGGTATTTATACAACAATGTACATGACATGATATTGCAGGTTTTTATGATACTTGTACCTTAAAAAAATATAATTCCAGAGTTTATAGAACAAATATACCTGACATTTTATTTATTAGCCTGCAAATTTAAGGACTAAGTTGTTGAAACATGTGAAATATTTTGTAAATCAACTTTATACATTCCTTGTTACCTTGTGCAATATTGAAATCAAATAAAAGAAGATAAAAAGGAACCTATTCTTTCAAGTTTGTTCCAACCATATTGTTGTTTCTTAATTTTATCAATTAGTTTTAATCAATGGATTGACATTATTGGGAAATAATGGGATGAAGATATACTGGCTAGTCATTACTAGCATATTAAAGATCCACTGGTTCATATACACGCATACATTACAAGGGAGATCATCAAATTGTAGTAGTTTCACAGCTGGATTAAGCACCTTTTGATGGTTTTAGTGTTTGGTTTTAAACCTGTTCCAACTTGCACTAAAAGTCTGTCAATGACTCAGGGTTTAAAAAGAACAAAAGAAATGAAGACCAAGTCCATTGAGATGTTACAACACTGTATTCTTAGACTGACTTGAAGAATGCATTGTTAGTGCAAGCAGTACATTTGGCAATGTGTTAAACAGTTGCCAGATTTTTTATTTACTGTTGTTTTGTATAATTCTTTTTATATACATTTATAAATCATAAAGACATAATAGAAATTTATATTTACAGAATAAATTAAATCTATCGCTTCAATGTTGAAAATTAAAATGAATGGAAGGTAAAACATAACATTCTGAAATAATTTACTGCACAAATTTCATACTTCCATTGTTGACGCAAGTTAACATACAACTAATATAAAACAAGTTTCACATACAATTAATGTAAAACAAATTTAACATTCAGCTAATGTAAAACAATCAAATAATTTACTGCACAAACTTCATACTTCCATTGTTGACGCAAGTTAACATACAACTAATATAAAACAAGATTTTAAAATTGTTAAAATAAAAGAAACAAATAGTTACAAAAATGTGGACAAGTTTATAAAACACATTTTTAGGGCAACACATTTTAACATACAACAAACGGGAATCATCTAGTACACCATATGACAACAAACACACAACAACATATAAACAACACATGATCTCCACAACACTAGAACACATACAGACAACATATCATGCAAACGACAGCATACACAACACAAAAACATGTGGTAAAATTGTAAAATATTTGACAAACAATAAAAAACGTCTAAAATATGAGACTGTACAGTCATTTACTAGAAAATAAACAACTAAAACTTCTTTTACATCAAAAATAGTGTGTGACAAAAACAGTTTACCTCTTGAATTGGTTTACAAAACTATTCAAGGGAAGTAATAATGCTTTTATTTTTGTTTTTAGGTCTATCTGAATCTTTCTAATTTATTTCCGTTAAATCTAGATGTAAAAAAGAAAAGAATGTTTTAGTGTTGGTCCATTTAAATTATAAAAGCTTATGGAAATTTTACAGTAATTTATTGGTCTGTTAAAAAAAATTATTTAAAAAGTTGATTTTAGTTCCAGTTTAGGGGAGGTGACTGGGTTTTCTAAGAGACATTCCATCTAGTCACAGTAATATACAGGTAACTACAGGTGGAATTACCTTGTTAACTTACAAATATAAGCTTAAGTTAATGAAGAAATTGTATGAAGTTTGTAAATTAGCAGCTGAACACTTGGTGCCTTAAAGGCATTATTTGTATCACTGTGGGTTTACGTAGAGCTCATCACTAGAGTCCCTGGTTGACAACCCACAGGTCTATCTACATATGTACAGGTTAGCTTGGGTTTGTCAGCAGCAGTTGTGAAGTATGATCAGATGGAATACTGATGGTTGATCAACATAGAGATGCTAGCAAGAAAACACAGCAGTTGTGAAGTATGATCAGATGGAATACTGATGGTTGATCAACACAGACATGGTAGCAAAAAAACAGATCTAGAGCTGGGGGTGGTTCTGGTAGCAGACATAATTTTTTAAAATATCCAGGTCATTAACTTTTTTTTTCATTGATAAAAAAGTGTTCAGGATTGTCTTAAAAATGTTTAAAAAATCAGATGAATACCATTGTGAAACTTTGAGCTTGAAGAGTGAAGGAAGAAGGTATGGAAGACAAGGGAGTTAATCACTGGTGAGACAGAACAAATGAGATGATTAGAAAGACTTGTGCAGTTGATAGAAGCCAACCATCCACTCTAACATTACCGTTGATAGAAGCCAACCATACACTCTAACATTACCGTTGGCCGTTGATAGAAGCCAACCATCCACTCTAACATTACCGGTGGCGCGACGTTTTGTTAAATTTAAAATGCAGTAAGATTTAAAAAGGCATTGTTTTCTGTCACTGTGGTGTGTGGGATTACAACTTTTCTTTCTAGTCCATCTTTTCATCAGCAAATCTTGATGTCAGTGGATGTAGACAGTATTGTATTGACACCTGACACATCCTGATGACATTGAATGACACATCCTGATGTCTGTGGACATTGCCAGCGCTTGGTTGATGTGTATCATCAGCATATCAGAGCTGAGATCAAGGGAAGACAACTAGAAACTTTGATAAATCCTCTGGTCATGAGAAATGTGATCTTAACATGGTCACCTTCAATCCAATATATTATGAGCACAAGATATCACGAGTTCAGTTTTAGGGTGACTTTCTTCATTACCCAGTGCAAAAGGAGAAACACGTAAATTCTGTTTTAGTGATCTCCCTTTGTCCAGTATTCTATACAAAGATAAAATATTCTGTAGTTTGTAATGATCTCCCTTTGTCCAGTATTCTATACAAAGATCAAATATTCTGCAGTTTGTAATGATCTCCCTTTGTTCAAATAATTTAAGCACTTTTTGTTTTTATTGAACTCTCTTTATCATCCAGTGACAAAGGATAATCCAAAAAATAGTTTGAATGAGATTTCATGTTACATTTCTTAGTGTCATTGCACTGTGGGCAGTTTTACATAAGAAAGTCTTCTGCTGGGCAGAAGTAGTGTCATTGACCTAGGGTCAAGTCAGGTCACCTGAACTGTAAATTTTTGTTTAAGATTTTCCTTTGCCCAGGAAGAACCAGTTGATTTTTTTCCCCAAAGTACTATCAGACTTGACCTTGTGGCGACCTTTGGTGCGGGGCAAGGTGGCGATGGCGCCGACTCTGTTAGCTGTGCTGCCCACCATATGTGTGCTACTGGTCCGCAAAAATTTATTTTTACCTACAAGTAAAAAAAAAAGTTGTGTGAATAGAAATTTTTGTATTGCAATGCTTATTATATAGTCATTCTTTCATTCTCTCTCTCTCTCTCTGAATATATATATATATATATATATATATATATATATATATATATATATATATATATATATATATATATATATAAATATATATATATATATATATATAAATACATATATTATGTATGTACATAAACTAAAAGTAAATATGTGTTCAATGATTTATAAAAAAGTGACACAACTATAATGTTGTGTATTTAGTCTAACTACCAGAATGATTCTCTCATGGCTCGTTTAAAATTAGTGTAGAGAAAATTATTTTTTCATTACAGTGTAACCATCTTGGAATAAATATTAAAAATTTGAGACACACTGATGAGGAATGTATCAATTTTTGTTTTATTAAAGGGGAGTTAATCAGAGCTCAGGAAAGAATTAGACAACAATGAACTAATCATCTACCACTACACAACATGCTAGACTAATCAGATTTCATGCTAGAGTTCAGCATTAGTGGTCCCTACTTTTTTCAACATCCGGATGTTAATGCTTCAATCTATTCTAACATCCAGATGTCAAACTGATGATGTCTAGACATCATTAAAAATACTTTCCATAATTTAGTAATGAATGTGTGACTAGATGGATGACTGAATTAAGCAGCAGTACACGATACCACTATAAAAACCCATAGGACTGAGCATGAACAGGGGAAATAACTCAAAGCTTTGTGGGTACAAAGCAAGTAGTACAATAGGTAAATACAGTGTTAATTTAGGCTAGTTTTCATACCAGTGTCTGATAATGGCATCATCATGGAATCTTCTAGAGAATTGCTCTTGGAAGCTAGTAGCAAACTATAAACCAGAATTGCTTACTGATGTAAACACCCTAAGATTAACCCTAAGTGTCTAAACTAAATATTTCAATACTACTAACAATCTAACACCTACACCTTTAGAAGACACTGGTAGGAAAAATATATATATATATATCTTTGTCTATTAATTTATGGATATTGGATAATGTAGCACTAATACAGTGGTGTATCCAGTAGCCTCCCATGGATTAGTGTTAGAGAATTAGCCACTCCCACAAGTTTACAGCTAGTTTGTGAGTTCAACTAAGACAGTTATATCAGTAGGTAGCCACTCCCACAAGTTTACAGCTAGTTTGTGAGTTCAACTAAGACAGTTATATCAGTAGGTAGCCACTCCCACAAGTTTACAGCTAGTTTGTGAGTTCAACTAAGACAGTTATATCAGTAGGTAGCCACTCCCACAAGTTTACAGCTAGTTTGTGAGTTCAACTAAGACAGTTATGTCAGTAGGGCTCAACAGAAATGCTTCACACAACTAAATTGTTGCGTCACCTTTTAGGATTTTCTTGTCAACCACAGTAAAATACCTGAAACAATTTTTCAGCGCGAGATTCACATTTTTATTTCAGGTAGATTATAATAAGATTCACATTTTTATTTCAGGTAGATTATAACAAGATTCACATTTTTACTTCAGAAAGATTCTAACAAGATTCACATTTTTACTTCAGGTAGATTATAACAAGATTCACATTTTTACTTCAGAAAGATTCTAACAAGATTCACATTTTTACTTCAGAAAGATTCTAACAAGATTCACATTTATATTTTGGATTGATTGTTGTGATGAGATTCACATTTTTATTTCAAGTAGATTGTAATAAAAATTCACATTTATTTCAGAAAGAGTGTAACAAGATTGGCATTCTTATTTTAAATGGCTATTTAATAGCAAGATTCACATTTATAATTGAGATAGATTAAAATAAAAGATAGATATCTTAGATAGATAGTAACAGGATTCAAAATTTCATTGCCATTAAAATAACTAGATTCACATTCATACTTCAGATAGAATTGTAATATCGTGATTGACATTTATAAATAAGAGATTAAAATAATGAGATTTAAATTTTTATTTCAGGCAGAATGTAACGCGATTCAGATTTTTACTTTTATTAGCGAGATTCAGTTTTATATCACAGATAAATTAAAATATTTATATTCAAATTTTTATTTTATGAAGATTGTAATGAGTTTTACATTAGCTTAATTTGAACATGTTGCCGATGTTAAATAACTTAATTAAAAAAATAATCAGGTGTTGCACTAGGTCTACTCACCTTTTGGTTTGTTGTGATTTGTTTTAAGTCTAAAGTTGGTGATGATGTTCTGCTTGACATGAGCTGGAATGTTAAAATCTGGGGACAAAAGTTTTAAACTAGTTTTAAAATCTGTAACCAAATTCTACATCCAGCACTTCATAAATTGAACTTTGTAAACTATGCAAGCAAATGGTGATTTAAAAAGTTGGACCATTAAAGCGAGAAAGAAACCTACTATTTTCAGCATCATCCTTGACCCTGCGCCTCTCGTCCTGGAATGCTTTGAGCCACCTCTGCTTGATGAGTGAAGTTTTGGCCACCAGCAGGTACCACTTCTGTCTGCTGGTGTCATGCAGCTTCCAGGCGTTCCTCACACTCACATTGTACTGGGGATCTGAAGGTTACAGCATGTTACATTCATCTCAATACACAACTAATGTTTTACTGCTGTAACAGTGGGGTGTTAAAAATATTTGTTGGGATCAGGGAATTCGGAAAATATTGGGATCATAAAATCACATCAATATTGGGATCAGAGAATCCTAAAGATATTGGGATCAGAGAATCCTATAAATATTAAGATCATAAAATCATATCAATATTGGGATCACAGATCTTAAAGATACTGGGATGAGAGAATCGTATAAATATTGGAATTATAGAATCCTATCAATATTGGGATCAGAGAATCCAAAAAAATATGCATATATGTCTAGATATTTCTCAGGGGTGTACCCAGTGCAAACATCAGACAAGTGCTCACCTCTGCCATCAGGTACGTTGATCACCTGACAGTAGTCCATCTCTATCCGACCTTTGTAGCAGAAACTGGACTTCTTCAGCAGATCTTTCTTGCAGTAGATGAGTTGGTGGTCAAAGAGGAAGAAATATCTTTCTTGTGACCAGCCAGCGTGGTTGATTTTGTTGAGCTCGCCTGAATAAATTAGCTCGGAGCTGTGCTCTAGTGTGTCAGGACCCTGGAAATATAAACAAAACACATTCGTTTTTCTTGTAGAGATAGTGGTAAGTCAGGTTCCACAACTCTCTCTGACAGCTAAAATCAAGTGCCACAACTCTCCTAGCTACAGCTAAAATCAAGTGCCACAACTCTCCCTTCTTCAGCTAAAGTCAAGTCCCACAACTCTCCTAGCTACAGCTAAAATCAAGTCCCACAACTCTCCTAGCTACAGCTAAAATCAAGTGCCACAACTCTCCCTTCTTCAGCTAAAGTCAAGTCCCACAACTCTCCTAGCTACAGCTAAAATCAAGTGCCACAACTCTCCTAGCTACAGCTAAAATCAAGTGCCACAACTCTCCTAGCTACAGCTAGAATGAAGCGCCACAACTCTCCCTATTATAGCTAAAACCAAGTGCCACACCTCTCCCTACTTCAGCTAAAGTCAAGTCCCACAACTCTCCTAGCTACAGCTAAAATCAAGTGCCACAACTCTCATGACTACAGCTAAAATCAAGTGCCACAACTCTCCCTATTATAGCTAAAACCAAGTGCCACACCTCTCCCTACTTCAGCTAAAGTCAAGTCCCACAACTCTCCTAGCTACATCTAAAACCAAGTGCCACACCTCTCCCTACTTCAGCTAAAGTCAAGTCCCACAACTCACCTCCCAGTCATCCACCAACAACTGCCACGCTGCCAGTTTTTCAATGCTCTCCATCTTCCTCTTCCTCTCATTAATGAGCAGAGCAATCTGTTTCATGGCCTCTAGGGCAGCCTGCACGTAGTGGAAGTCTGGGTGGTCAGGGGGAGTGAACTTGAGCAGCTCCGCAAGCTGGAGGTGATATTTGCAGATCTTTTGGACGGGGGTCAGAAGAAATCCTTCCAGGGGTATTTCTATCATCTCTTGGAGCAGCCGACAGGCCTGGAGGTTAAAGGTCAGGTACAGCAGGTACTCAACTATTACATCATTTATTTACATCATTCTAACTATAGCTTTACATAATAACAACATTTATAACATAATATCATTCAACACTAAAAAATCATTTTACTTATCTATAACATCAAATTTCATCATTAATCTACATTACTAATTTATATCAGTAATCTTTTCAGTTATCTATATTACTAATAAACAACTTAATCACACAATCATTAATCTACATCACAAATGTGCAACATCTTTTCTCTAACATCACTCATCTACAACACATTTTACAACATCACTAATCTACAACATAGATACTCCTTATCATCAACACCTGATTCACACAACAGCCTTCTATCATTCCCAGACTCACCTCGAAGAAGTGCCTGTATCTTTTGTTCCTGTAGAGTTCCCTCAGTTCCTCGCAGGCAGCTGGGTGGTTGTTGCAGTAATCAGAATACATCTCAAAGCCTTTCACCTGATTACAATTCACAAACTTTTAAACTATTGCCAAACAAAGCTCTGACTACAGTTGCTTTGGGAAAATACTTTCTTAACTTCTGAATCCAAGGACAGCAAATTTGAACATAGTGTTGGGGTCGGCGTGGTCGAGTCGGTAAAGCTCATGGTTGCTAAACCAAGAAGTCTAGAGTTCGAACCTTCGGGCAGATGAGGCTTGTTAGCTGGGGACAGCCACTCTTCTAGGAGAGACTACTCCAAAATCAAACTAATGCTGCCTTGGACAAAGGCAATGGAAGCAAATCCAAAAAGAAAAGCAGGCTGAAATCGGAGTCAACGGCCTATATGGCGCATAACCAGTTGACACGTATCCTTAATTGTGATGGAGGCGTGGTCGAGTCGGCAAAAGCTCATGGTTGATAAATTCGTCAAAGTCTCGAGTTCAAACCCTATAGCAGACAAGGCTAGATACCTTCCAACACTAAAAATTAAGAAAGAAGAACAGTGTTGTCATGGCTTACCTTATCCAAGAAACACTGCCCAATCTGACTGAGGTGAGGCTGATGGTGGTTGATGCAACATTCCAGCCTGTCTAACAGTTGTCTGGCAAACTCGTAGATCTCCTCAATGTTGCTGAATATAACAGTCACTTTCTCAATGGGGAACATTTCTGGTCTTTTGCGGGCTTGTTTCACATAACCCTGAAGGTGAGGGGAACATATAGGTTGTAGGTTGATGTGATACATTTATGTCAGAGGAATAGAATGATGTAGGTTGATGTGATACATTTATGTCAGAGGAATAGAATGATGTAGGTTGATGTGATACATGTAGGTGAGGGGAACATATAGGTTGTAGGTTGATGTGATACATTCAGGTGAGAGGAACATATAGGTTGTAGGTTGATGTGATATATTCAGGTGAGAGGAACAGATAGGTTGTAGGTTGGTGTGATACATTCAGGTGAGAGGAACAGATAGGTTGTAGGTTGATGTGATACATTCAGGTGAGAGGAACAGATAGGTTGTAGGTTGGTGTGATACATTCAGGTGAGAGGAACAGATAGGTTGTAGGTTGGTGTGATACATTCAGGTGAGAGGAACAGATAGGTTGTAGGTTGATGTGATACATTCATACACTGGCTACAGTCAAATGTCTGACTGATGACTAAAATACAACAATGTCTACCAAAGGTATGACTAAAACATGAGCTTAGACTAAAGCACCAGCCTAGACTAGACTAGATTAAAACACCAACATAAGACTAGACTACAACACCATCCTAGACTGTCCACTCACCTCCACCACATCCCGCAGGTGCTTGACGTACTCCCTCTCAGCGCTGATGATCTCATTGACCACGTTGGCCCTGGCCTGGTGCTTGTCTACAAAGTTTGGCGCCATCATCACGCTGCCCACCCTCTCACTGACCACCATCTCCTCCTTCTCTGCCAGCAGAAAGGTCAGCTCGTCTTCCATGATGTCCTGGTTCACACGCAGCTGTGGGTGTACAGAGGTCAACATGTCATACAGGTGATAGGTCATACAGGTGGCAGGTCATAGGTCATATGTCAATAGGTCATAAGGTGATAGGTCATACAAGTGGCGTCAACAGGTCATAGGTGGCAAAATAGGTCATACAGGCGGCAGTCAATAGGTCATACAGGTGGCAGGTCATAGGTCATACAGGTGGCAGGTCATAGGTCATACAGGCAACAGGTGATACAGACAGCAGTCAACAGGTGATACAGGTGACAGTCAACAGGTCATGCGTCATACAGGTGGCACTTAACAGGTCATACGTCATACAGGTGGCACTCAACAGGTCATACGTCATACAGGTGGCAGTCAACAAGTCATACAATGTATAACAACAAAATGAAAGTATTTGATTGACATACCCTGACATAATTAGTGGGAAACCAGCCCTCATGTCCGTCTAGCACACCAAACCACCAATGCTTGTCTGTGGCGTCAGTCACACAGATCAGGTCCCCGGCCCTGAACCCCAGCTCATTGGGGTCCATGGTCACATGATCCCACAGGGCCTCGGCATAGGTCAGGTTCTCCTCGCGGTACATCTATAACAACAGCAGATGGTTCACATACACGTACAAGTTCTAAAACAACAGCAGATGGTTTTCATACACGTACAAGTTCTAACATCTAAAACAACAGCAGATGGTTTTCATACACATACAAGTTCTAAAACAACATCAGATGGTTTTCATACACATACAAGTTCTAACATCTTAAACAACAACAGATGGTTCACATACACATACAAGTTCTAACATCTAAAACAACAGCAGATGGTTTACATACATATACAAGTTCTAACATCTAAAACAACAGCAGATGGTTTTCATAAACATACAAGTTCTAAAACAACAGCAGATGGTTTTCACACATACAAGTTCTAAAACAACAGCAGATGGTTTTCACACATACAAGTTCTAACATCTAAAACAACAGCAGATGGTTTTCATAAACATACAAGTTCTAAAACAACAGCAGATGGTTTTCACACATACAAGTTCTAAAACAACAGCAGATGGTTTTCACACATACAAGTTCTAACATCTAAAACAACAGCAGATGGTTTTCATACACATACAAGTTCAAACAGTTTTTATCAGACAAATAAATAGCTAGGATCTAATGATAAAGGCTGACCTTTGTCTAGGGACCAAATGTAGGTCTGACCCATGTAAAAACTGACCTGGTCAAGAGCTGCCAACATGACATGAGATGACCTTGCACTCAATGACTTCTCAGGGTACTCCACAGAATACTCGGATTCATCCGAGGACTCATCCCCTCCACTCTGCTGGCTGGTGATGCTCTGGGTGTCAGATCCTGTAGGGTTGGAAGGGTTGCATAGAGCTACAGGCATTACAGTAGTTTTTTAACAGGTATTACAGTAGTTTTCTTACAGGCATTACAGTACAGTTTTCTTACAGGTTTTACAGCAGTTTTCTTACAGGTATTACAGTACTGTTTTCTTACAGGTGTTACATTAGTTTCATTAAGCCTACAGCATGGGATGATAAGGGGGATGGGGAGAATGTTCTGACTAAATGTCAGAAGTTGACAAAAGATCCACATGATAATCAAACTGAAGTAGTTAATTATAACCTACCAATTAAACTGGCATAATTAATGAAGCTAATTTCCACCTACCAATCAAACTGATGTAATTAAGCTAAGATCCACCTACCAATCAAACTGAAGTAATGTTTTTTCCTGGCCAGTTTGTCCAGATTATCTGGCATGCTGTGAGCTTGTTTTAATGTGTTAATGGCCTGGACACTCTTGCACGGCTTCACGGCTGGCTTCTCCGCATGGAGGGTGATAGGTTGGGGTGTGGATAGCTGTGGATAGAAACAAATATTGATAGGTTGGGGTGTTGATAGCTGCGGATATAAACAAATATTGATAGGTTGGGGTGTGGATAGCTGCGAATATAAACAAATATTGATAGGTTGGGGTGTGGACAGCAACGGATATAAACAAATATTGATAGGTTGGGGTGTGGACAGCTACGGATATAAACAATATTTTGATAGGCTCGGGTGTGGACAGCTACGGATATAAACAATATTTTGATAGACTCGGGTGTGGAGAGCGACGGATATAAACAATATTTTGTTAGGTTGGGGTGTGGACAGCTGTGGATATAAACAATATTTTGATAGGTGGGGGTATGGACAGCTGTGGATATAAATAAATATTGATAGGCTGGGGTGTGGATAGCTGCGGATTTAACAATGTTCGGTGTTGACAAATGCAAAAACTCCAATTTATATGACTGGTATAGAAAATTTTTTTAGTATGTTAACTTCAGACAGAACAGATTAAGTGACTGGTTAACGACCTCAGACAAATAGAGAACTAAGACCGCTTGAAAAACTTTGCTTACACATCTATTGGACTTAAAAGCTCTGCGCTTATGTTGAAGACGGGTGACTACAGTGTCTTCAGGTTCCAGAAACATTTTCTGGCTGAAGCTACTCAAACTCTGGCTCTCAGCCTCAGATATAGGCTGTAAGGTGATCATTGTGTCAGTCAGATGGTACTCACACACAGGGATGTGACACGGTGGTCAGGTTCTCACTCATTCATACATTAACGTTATACTTGTTTGTTGCACTTAATCAACAAGTAGATATCCACATAAACCTATACAACACTAGTTATTCCAAGTATAAATCCCATTAGTGTTATTTCACAAAGTTTGTTAGAATCACAGATACAACTTTATAGCACAACACAGCTTAAATTCCTGATGACAATGTGAAAACAAACAAAAAATTTGAGCAAGTGAGCGGGGAGGCGTGGACACAACAGAGCAGTTCTACCAATGGAGGATCTAGTTCCAGGATGTAAAAACAAACACTTAGCTAGGCTAGATCTAGTGCTGGTTTGTTGACATACTTTATCATCCCATTTGTCAAGTGCTTTGATAACTTTTTATTTAATCTAAACCTGTTGTGCTAGTCAATTCAGAGAAATCTAGATCTGGTTAACCACAGTCAAACAATAAAGTTGGTTTGTGCTGTAGAATGGTTCATGTCTAATAGATAAGCTAGATAATATGTTTCTTGAGAGGTTTGTAATCAAAACTATACTTTTCACAACCTAGATGAGTTTTGTTGACATCGCCTCTTTAGAAATGCTAAACTGTATCAATAAGAGAATATAATACTAAGCTTTTGAAAGGTAAACAAACTGAAGTCAAAGTAAGGCTAAACCTTCCTATGTCAACAAAACTATAAAGTAAGTAAACAAAGCAATGCTAAAATGTTAGTAAGGCACATTGGGTTAATCCATCGGATCAAAATAATCGAATAAATGAAACAAACAAAAGCAGAGCAACAACTGATGGCAGTGACAAATCGTAGTTGATTAAAAACTGATTAAAACTGTACCCCCCTCTCATCATGTCAAGGATGTTTGTTAATTAAGTGAACACAGATTAACTGGGCTACTGATGCAACACATCTAATGAGGTCAGCTACAAATCCAAAGAATAAGTTGTCTGCAAACATTCCACATGTAAGTCAGCACAGCCCCAGTTAACACAGGCTGGTCAAAATATCTTCAGTTCATCTATACTACAGTGGTCCTCACACCTGTTTGCATGTCTTAATGGATACATGATGTTTGTTGACATGATCATCTCATAAATATGGGGGGAGGATGTCTGTCTGTGTGTGTGTGTATGGGGGGGGGGGTGGCAGGGTTGATTTTCATGACACTTTTTGACCTCATCTGACCTAGTTTGTTGTGATGTTAGTTTAATGAAGCATTAGTCAAATAAATGTCATTTGAGGAAAAAAAAAAGTGGGATCTAAGACTGATGTCATGTCTAGTGTGTGTGTCTAGAGTGTGATGTCAGACACCCAAGTGTCCACATAAGACAGACATGATGTCTGGTGTGTGGAGTGTGTGTGGAGTGTGATGTCAGACACCCAAGTGTCCACATAAGACAGACATGATGTCTGGTGTGTGGAGTGTGTGTGGAGTGTGTGTGGAGTGTGATGTCAGACACCCAAGTGTCCACATAAGACAGACATGATGTCTGGTGTGTGGAGTGTGTGTGGAGTGTGTGTGGAGTGTGATGTCTAGTGTGTCTAGAGTGTGATGTCAGACACCCAAGTGTCCACATAAGACAGACATGATGTCAAGTGTGTGGAGTGTGTGTGGAGTGTGTGTGGAGTGTGCTGTCTAGTGTGTGTGGAGTGTGATGTCTAGTGTGTGTGGAGTGTGTGTGGAGTGTGTGTGGAGTGTGTGTGGAGTGTATGTGGAGTGTGATGTCTAGTGTGTGTGGAGTGTGATGTCTAGTGTGTGTGGAGTGTGATGTCTAGTGTGTGTGGAGTGTGTGTGGAGTGTGTGTGGAGTGTGTGTGGAGTGTATGTGGAGTGTGATGTCAGACACCCAAGTGTCCACATAAGACAGACATGATGTCTGGTGTGTGGAGTGTGTGTGGAGTGTGATGTCTAGTGTGTGTGGAGTGTGATGTCTAGTGTGTGTGTAGTGTGAGGACCATTGGTGTGGAGTGTTATGTCTAGTGTGTGTGGAGTGTAATGTCTAGTGTGTGTGGAGTGTGAGGACCACTGGTGTGGAGTGTGATGTCTAGTGTGTGTGGAGTGTGAGGACCACTGGTGTGGAGTGTGATGTCTAGTGTGTGTGGAGTGTGAGGACCACTGGTGTGGAGTGTGATGTCTAGTGTGTGTGGAGTGTGATGTCTAGTGTGTGTGGAGTGTGATGTCTAGTGTGTGGAGTGTGAGGACCACTGGTGTGGAGTGTGATGTCTAGTGTGTGTGGAGTGTGATGTCTAATGTGTGGAGTGTGAGGACCACTGGTGTGGAGTGTGATGTCTAGTGTGTGTGAGGACCACTGGTGTGGAGTGTGATGTCTAGTGTGTGGAGTGTGATGTCTAGTGTGTGTGGAGTGTGATGTCTAGTGTGTGTGGAGTGTGATGTCTAATGTGTGTGGAGTGTGAGGACCACTGGTGTGGAGTGTGATGTCTAGTGTGTGTGGAGTGTGAGGACCACTGGTGTGGAGTGTGATGTCTAGTGTGTGTGGAGTGTGAGGACCACTGGTGTGGAGTGTGATGTCTAGTGTGTGTGGAGTGTGAGGACCACTGGTGTGGAGTGTGATGTCTAGTGTGTGTGGAGTGTGAGGACCACTGGTGTGGAGTGTGATGTCTAGTGTGTGTGGAGTGTGAGGACCACTGGTGTGGAGTGTGATGTCTAGTGTGTGTGGAGTGTGAGGACCACTGGTGTAGATGTAGAGAGGTCATCCATCATTGACACATCCACCTATTACATTAAATTACAACAGCCAGCACAGCAGGTTAGCAGCTGGCTTGAGATATGACATGCTCCTCTCATTTAACTGGTCACGTTTTTACACTGACATCACACCACATGTGATATCCTGTCAGAACTTGTCCTGTCACTGACATCAGAGCATGTCATGTCCTGTCATTGACATGAAAACATGTCATGTCCTGTCACTGACATGAAAACATGTCATGTCCTGTCACTGACATGAAAACATGTCATGTCCTGTCACTGACATGAAAACATGTCATGTCCTGTCACTGACATGAAAACATGTCATGTCCTGTCACTGACATGAAAACATGTCATGTCATGTCCTGTCACTGACATCAGAGCATGTCATGTCCTGTCATTGAAATGAAAACATGTCATGTCCTGTCACTGACATGAAAACATGTCATGTCCAGTCCCTGACATCAGAACATGTTATGACCTGTCATTAACGTCATGCCATGTCATGTGACTGACATCATGCTATGATGTGTCATTGACATTCCTTCCTAACACGATGTGTTATTTAGCACAGAAACAGGTAAATTCCACACAGAAACTATTCAGGAAATTCATAACCTCAGCAGCGAATATTAAATATAACACTAGCCGTGAATATTACATACAATCCAACTACCGCGAATATTATTCCAACCACCGCGAATATTACACCAACCACCGACCAATGTACAGATAGAGAAAAAACACCAGAGCTAGGTGTAGTGCTGTTCTGATATTTATTTTAGCAGCAACAAGACGAGAAATCAAACATGTGTGAGCGTATGTGTGTGTGTGTTCTCCTGAAGATTTTGGCACCAGTTTACACCCACATTCTCTGGCACATAACACTAGACATATTGGCAAAACACCGGTTTAATAAGTGCTTCATGCTCAAACTTTAGCTTAAACAGCAGTAGATTACTTTTAGAGCAAGATATGCTAAACTAACACAAGACCAACAAATAGAAGAAAACAAACACTTCTCAAATAACTAGAAGAAAACCAACTCTAGTACAGCCGATCAACTAACCAAGCGAGGGGGCTGACCATATGCTACAATGAGGGATCAATTCAATAGATTTTTTTTCATGTAATGGTTGTACACAGCATTTGTTTGTTTAATCAAGCCTGAGCTTAGCCAGCACGGCGAGCCTAGCTAGTCAAGTCAAGTTTAGCTAGTCAAGTCAAGTCTAGCTAGTCAAGTCAAGTCTAGTTAATCAAGTCAAGTCTAGCTAATCAAGTCAAAGCTAGCTAATCAAGTCAAGTCTAGCTGATCAAGTCAAGTCTAGCTGATCAAGTCAAGTCTAGCTGATCAAGTCAAGTCTAGCTGATCAAGTCAAGTCTAGCTGATCAAGTCAAGTCTAGCTGATCAAGTCAAATCTAGCTGATCAAGTCAAGTCTAGCTGATCAAGTCAAATCTAGCTGATCAAGTCAAGTCTAGCTGATCAAGTCAAGTCTAGCTAATCAAGTCAAATCTAGCTGATTAAGTCAAGTCTAGCTGATCAAGTCAAGTCTAGCTGATCAAGTCAAGT